TCACACGTACTTGCACGTGCGTGCGCCGCGCGCTTTGGAAGTTTGGACAAACATAATAATCCTCTCCCAAACGGCTTGGGCCTCTGCTGCTGCTGCTGTCAGAGATCCCTATTCTCGTTAGCGGAGGCCACCGCCTGTTGATGGATCTGATTGATGAGCAGATCCTAATTTTGTTGGCGCGTGGCAGAGGGTGAGTCTCCCGGCTCTCGCTCCGTCTCGCGGCGAGGACCGCCCGGTTCTCGGAGGACCCTAACGCGCGTCTAAACATAGGTCCACACTGATGGATTGATTGGTCTGGGGAGCGTGCGTCCATCTGTGCGTTTGTTTGTGCCCCCTTGCGTGCGTGCGGGAGTGTGTGCGTCGTGCAGGCCTTAATAGGTGCTCGCCAATGGAATTTGCCCCAGCGGTCTTCTCCGAGGGTGAAACGGTGGGAGGCGGGGGGGAGGAAGGAATTTGTGTTGGTGTGTGAGCAAGTGTGTGGATGGGTATGTTTGTGTTGATGTCTTTGTGTGTGTTGTTGGTGTGTATGTGTGTGTACTGATGTCTTTATTTGTGTTCTGTATTTCTGTTTGTGTTGGTGTGTATGTGTGTGTATTGATGTTTTTAGCAGTTAGTGCGCTGTGCTACGAATCCGGCGCCCTGAGTTCGATTCCCGCTTACGACCAACACCAGTCACGATTATCTGAACTGGTCCTGGGCCTTTCCTAGGTCGGCTCTGCCTCAAATGAATACCTGGTGTGCTGTGTAAACATCGCTACTACAGTGTTGGCCACCCACCCCCTCTTGTGTCGTGCCGGCTTTCATAGGTGCTCGCTAACAGCACTTGCCCCAACAGTCCAACAAGGCTATATTGGGGATTTTTGTCTTTGTATTGATGTATTGTGGGTAGTGAGCAGTTGTGAACCGGTTAGCGCAGTGCACTAACCGCAACAAATATTGCAGTAATCAGCAATACCAATATCATCATCATCACGACCGTCATTATCACAATCATTGCAGTTACTATCACAATCACTCCCATTAAAATCATCATCAATACCATCACTACCATCACCACCACGATCACCATGATGAGCATCATCGTCATCATCATTCAGGTCATCAACACCACCACCATCATCATCATTAACACCATCACCACCACCACGAACATCTTCATCAGTGCCATTCCAATCATTATCGCCACCACCAACACCACCACCACCACCACTAAGCAGCAAGGAGGAACAATGCCTGAATGGCTTTTATTCCCCCAGGTGTGATCCCATTGAGATTCGTGACCTCTTTCACGAGCCTCACTTTGGCGCGAGCAGAGCCCATACAGATTCACTGCCTCCTTCACAGCCCCGCCGTGGGTGTGGAGCCCATAGAGATTCACGGCCATGGGGGTGGCAAGGATGCGACTTTATTGAGATTCATTATCTCGCCACTTCTTTTGTGGTCACTGAGCCCAGGGGGGGGGGGGGTCGGGAGGGGGTGGGGGGGGGGGCCTTGGACCCAGGACGGGCGACTGACCACACCGCGCAGTAACGGCACCACGCGGCGTCGCCGTCACTCCCTTCCTCCTGCCAGATGGCCACAGCTTTGGCAGAGTTAGTTGTTAGTTGACCACGTGACCTTCGAGTGGCCGCCCGTACGTGTCCATCGGCCACCGTCACTACACCTCCCGGGGCCTCCACCCCACCTCCCCCCCCCCCCCCCCCAGGTTGCAGACTCCGCACAAGGACGGCGGTCCTCATCGCAACCCCTGACGACCTTCCCTCCTCCACCCATTGGACCTCCGGTGGCCTGACGACGGCCGTAGCCGCTCTCGCCTCCCTGTCCCTCGCCGGCCGGCAACGATCGCTCGGCGGCACACCGCCTGCCGCTTCAGGGTGGACGTTGCGGGTGCCCGTGACGTCATCCGCGAGAGGGTAGCCCACCGCGCATGCCAGGCCCGTTGGTGGCGGGGTCCAAAATCTTTCGCCGCGTTCCAAAATGACGCCCGCGGGTTGCCCAACTGGGCAGACGCACGGCAATCATCGCCCCCCCCCCACCCCACCCCTACAGGCTGACTCATGGCCCCAGGTTACTGGTTCCAATACCATTCTACCCCGGTCTCTCGACTTCGAAGTAACTGCCCGCATCAAAAAAAAAACGCTCTGCTGCCGCACACAATTCTCAGATTACAAAATAGAGGGGGGTTTTTTTTGGGTTAGATCGCGTAAATATATAAGTGTGTCGTTAAAACCCGCCACCACCCAACACAGCCAACTAGTAAGGGTTGTCACGTTTTAACGACACATTTCGATATTTACGCGATCTAACCCAAAAAAAAAACTCTATTATGGATGATATTGCTCGTGAAAGCCTACATGTTAAACATTCTCAGCTTCCGAGTTGTTAACCCCCCCCCCCCCCACCGCGGCCCCATCCAGCCGTGGAGGGGGGGGGGATGGGCAAGGTAGCAATGATGGAGGAAGGAAGAAGGAAATAGGAAGCAGTGATTACATTGAGCGAGAATAGTCGTCTCACCTGAGCCGAGGTGGGCTGCTCCGCACAACAATGGGGCTTCACGTAACGGTGGCATCCCACTCCTACAAAGTCACAAAGTCATCTCCCGCGCAAATTGCTTGCACTGACAGCCCTGCCCGTCTCCCGCTTACCACAGCCCCTGAGAGCCAGTGGTGGACATTCCAAATTTCCTATGGCAGCAGTGAGTCACTCCGTAAAAAACCACTGTTGACTTCCTCACAAACTGGTACTGGTTGTATCGACCCCCCCCCCCAGATGGATGATTGGTTGAGTCAACCCCCCCCCGCCCCCCACAAACCGAGAGTTGAACTCGCGAACTTCCTGATGTGCGGGCTGCTCGCTCTGCCGCTGAACCACCCGGCCGGCTGACGACTCCACTCTGACTACACTTCCCAAAAACACTGTTTCCGCTCCCATTAATGCATCAGCCAACTTCCTTCCACGACCACAGTTCTATGGCCTCAGGGTGGCAGGCGTTTAATATTTTGACTTGTTTATTTATTTTAGTCACGTGGGTTCTAAAATCCCCGTCATTCGTCTGTTGAGATGTCGTTGGCTGCTCAGGGTCTGTCAAGGGGTAAAGCAACGACTGCTCGTGCCTCATTTTGCACCTCGTCATCGTTACCAACAAGTCGGCCAACCTCTCTGCCCTCTCCCTCTCTCTGCTTTGCAGAAGGGCCATTGCCTGAAACATCAGCCTGATGTTTCCAGCCGATGCCTTCTGAACACTTTCCGATTCCGCAGCTCCATCCCCACATCGTGGTGCCCTCTGCGCCTTTGGTAATCCATCTCTCCAGGAGACCGGCGGCACAAGGGGGGAAGATGTGAGTCCAGACAGATGGTGGGAGAACTGTCAGGGCATTGCGGTGGTGGTTGTGGTGGTGGTGGTTGTGGTGGTTGTGGTGGTGGTTTTGTCCACTATAACATCTCCACCTTCATCCTGATTCCTGTTTCTCTGCTTGTACGGCAACATCAATGATAAACTAAAACTAAACTATTTACAATTTTACCAGCTAAGGCCCACTGAGCTATGGAGCTCTTTTTTGCTCAACGAAGTGGCTCGTCACACGTGGACATTTATAGCAGCCAAATACTCTTAACAACTATTATTATTATTATCCCATGTTGACCATTGTGAACCCCACTGCGAGAGGCACGGACATTCCCCCCCCCCCCCCCACTGCCCGCCTGATGGGTGGTGGGCGAGGCTCTGATGGGAAGGGGAGTTCCAAACGAGAATTTGTTGCAAAGAATGTTGCCCGCCGTCCAAGTCACCCTCGAAAACGAGCCTCTTGGCTCGATGGGCTTCACGTCCTGGAGATGCGACACCGAGAAAATGGCCGTCACTGCAGTGACTCGCCAGCTTGCGGGCGCGCTTAAATTCACCGCCACTGGGACTGACCTGGATGTGAGTTCCAGTGAGTTCCGTGACCACACCCACCGCCCCCCACCACGTGACCTCAGCACGACCCCCATTGGGATTCATTGCCACCCGCGGTGACGGCAGAGCTGTGAGTCCGTTGAGATTCACATTTAGAAACATGCATTGCGATTTTTTTGATTATCTTGCTACTATAAATGACCCAATTATAGGCCTATTTGTTTGAGCTATCATTTGTGGCCAGGTTGCTTTTGAAAAATAAGTTAGAATCTCACTGGGCTTTGCCTGGTAGGATGGGGATGTTAGCGAGCACCATGAAAGAACTACCATTCCACTTCAACCACAGAGGCTGCCATTGTTACCATCACCATAACCACCACTTTCAGCCAACGCCACCATCACCATAGCCACCACCTCAATCAATGCCACCACCACCGCTATCACAATCACAACCACCACCCACCACCTCAAGCAAACATGACCATCACCAGCACCGCTATCACCACTATCACCGCCACCTCAACCAACGCCACCATCACCACCATCATCACCACCACTATCACAATCACAACCACCACCCACCACCTCAAGCAAACATGACCATCACCAGCACCGCTATCACCACTATCACCGCCACCTCAACCAACACCACCATCACCATCACCACCATCATCACCACCACTATCACAATCACAACCACCACCCACCACCTCAAGCAAACATGACCATCACCAGCACCGCTATCACCACTATCACCGCCACCTCAACCAACACCACCATCACCATCACCACCATCATCACCACCACTATCACAATCACAACCACCACCCACCACCTCAAGCAAACATGACCATCACCACCACCGCTATCACCACTATCACCGCCACCTCAACCAACGCCACCATCACCATCACCACCATCATCACCACCACTATCACAATCACAACCATCACCCACCACCTCAAGCAAACATGACCATCACCACCACCGCTATCACCACTATCACCACCACCTCAACCAACGCCACCATCACCATCACCACCACCACCACCATCATCACCACCATCACCACCACCGCCTCCGCCATCCCCACCGCGTGGCCTACCTGTGGGCGTGTATCCGCGGGCGCGCGTCAGACGGAGATGGACACGAAGCTGTTGTATCGCTGGATGTTGCGCTTGAGGATGTCGGAGCAGGGCCCGAGGACGCGCTCGAACCGCGGCCGGTCCAGCTTGACGCACTTGAGCGGCCCGCGGGCCACCACGGTGGCGGCGCGCGGGCGGTCCAGCATGAGCGCAATCTCCCCTGGGGGGGGGGCGGGGTACACGGGCACGGTCAGCGCGCGAGTTCGTTTAGCCGGATGAGAGGGAGGGGGGGAGCACAGAAAAAGACGGAGATATAAAAGTGCAGAAGGAACAACAAAGTTGTAGGTGAGGGGACGGTGATTGGGAGAGTGAGGGGGCAGGTGAGAGGGAGAATGAGGGGGCAGGTGAGAGGGAGGGGGCAGGTGAGAGGGAGAGTGAGGGGGCAGGTGACGGGGAGAGGGAGGGGGCAGGTGGGGAGGGGGCAGGTGAGAGGGATATGAAGGGGGCAGGTGAGAGGGAGGGGGAGGGGGCAGGTGAGAGGGAGAGTGAGGGGTCAGATGAGAGGGAGAGTGAGGGGGCAGGTGAGAGGGAGGGGGCAGGTGAGAGGGAGAGTGAGGGGGCAGGTGATTGGGAGAGTGAGGGGGCAGGTGAGAGAGAGAGTGAGGGGGCAGGTGATTGGGAAAGTGAGGGGGCAGGTGATTGGGAGAGTGAGGGGGCAGGTGAGAGAGAGAGTGAGGGGGCAGGTGAGAGAGAGAGTGAGGGGGCAGGTGATTGGGAGAGTGAGGGGGCAGGTGAGAGGGAGAGGGAGTGAACAGGTGAGAGGGAGAGTGAGGGGGCAGGTGAGAGAGAGAGTGAGGGGGCAGGTGATTGGGAAAGTGAGGGGGCAGGTGATTGGGAGAGTGAGGGGGCAGGTGAGAGAGAGAGTGAGGGGGCAGGTGAGAGAGAGAGTGAGGGGGCAGGTGATTGGGAAAGTGAGGGGGCAGGTGATTGGGAGAGTGAGGGGGCAGGTGAGAGAGAGGGGGCAGGTGAGAGGGAGAGTGAGGGGGCAGGTGATTGGGAGAGTGAGGGGGCAGGTGAGAGAGAGAGTGAGGGGGCAGGTGATTGGGAAAGTGAGGGGGCAGGTGATTGGGAGAGTGAGGGGGCAGGTGAGAGAGAGAGTGAGGTGGCAGGTGAGAGGGAGAGGGAGGGGGCAGGTGGGGAGGGGGCAGGTGAGAGGGATATGAAGGGGGCAGGTGAGAGGGAGAGGGAGGGGGCAGGTGAGAGGGAGAGTGAGGGGGCAGGTGAGAGGGAGAGTGAGGGGGCAGGTGAGAGGGAGGGGGCAGGTGAGAGGGAGAGTGAGGGGGCAGGTGATTGGGAGAGTGAGGGGGCAGGTGAGAGAGAGAGTGAGGGGGCAGGTGATTGGGAAAGTGAGGGGGCAGGTGATTGGGAGAGTGAGGGGGCAGGTGAGAGAGAGAGTGAGGGGGCAGGTGAGAGAGAGAGTGAGGGGGCAGGTGATTGGGAGAGTGAGGGGGCAGGTGAGAGGGAGAGGGAGTGAACAGGTGAGAGGGAGAGTGAGGGGGCAGGTGAGAGAGAGAGTGAGGGGGCAGGTGATTGGGAAAGTGAGGGGGCAGGTGATTGGGAGAGTGAGGGGGCAGGTGAGAGAGAGAGTGAGGGGGCAGGTGAGAGAGAGAGTGAGGGGGCAGGTGATTGGGAAAGTGAGGGGGCAGGTGATTGGGAGAGTGAGGGGGCAGGTGAGAGAGAGAGTGAGGGGGCAGGTGATTGGGAGAGTGAGGGGGCAAGTGAGAGGGAGAGTGAGGGGGCAGGTGAGAGGGAGAGTGAGGGGGCAGGTGGGGAGGGGGCAGGTGAGAGGGATATGGAGGGGGCAGGTGAGAGGGAGAGTGAGTGGGCAGGTGAGAGGGAGATGGAGGGGGCAGGTGAGAGGGAGAGTGAGGGGGCAGGTGAGAGGGAGAGGGAGTGAACAGGTGAGAGGGCGGGTGAGGAGAGAGCTTGTGAGTGTGTGTAGGTGGATGTGTGCGCCTGTGTGCCCGTACGTGTGAGCGCGTGTATGTGTGTGGGTGCGTGTACGTGTGTGTGTGTACATACACTTGTGTGAGTGTACACGTGCGTATTCATGCGTGTGTATGTGTGTGTGTAGGTGTGCGAGTGTATGTACGCGTGAATGTGCATACGTGTGTATGTTGTATACATGTGTGAGTGAAGAGTCCGAGTGTGTATGCATGTGAGTGTGTGTACATGTGCGTACATGTGTGTGTGTGTACGTGCGTGTGTGTGTGTGCACGTGTGTCTACGTGTGTGTGTGGATATGTGTGTGTGTGTACGTGTGTCTACATGTGCCTACGTGTGTGTGTGTGCGTACATGTGTGGGTACGTGTGTGTGTGTGTGTGTGCGTACATGTGTGGTTACGTGTGTGTGTGAGTGTGTGTGAGTGTGTGTACGTGTGTATCTACGTGTGTATCTACGTGTGTGTGCACGTGTGTGTGTGCACGTGGGTGTGTGTTTGTGTGTATCGTAACTACGTGTGTGTGCACGTGTGTGTGTGCACGTGTGTGTGTGCATACATGTGTGTGCACGTGTGTGTGTGTGTGCACGTGTGTGTGCACGTGTGTGTGTGTGTACACGTGTGTGTGTGTGTACGTGTGTGTGTGTGTGTACGTGGGTGTGTGTTTGTGTGTATCGTATCTACGTGTGTGTGTGCACGTGTGTGTGTGCACGTGTGTGTGTGTGCACGTGTGTGTGTGCACGTGTGCACGTGTGTGTGTGTGCACGGGTGTGTGTGTGTGCATGTATGTGTGTGTGCACGTGTGTGTGAGTGTGTGTACGTGTGTGTGTGTGTACGTGTGTGTGTGTGTGCACGTGTGTGTGTGTGCACGTGTGTGTGTGCACGTGTGTGTGTGTGCACGTGTGTGTGTGTGCACGTGTGCGTGTGCACGTGTGTCTGTGTGTGTGTGAGTGTGTACACGTGTGTGTGAGAGTGTCTGTACTATCTACGTGTGTGTGTGCACGTGTGTGTGTGTGTGTGCACGTGTGTGTGAGTGTGTGTACGTGTGTGTGTGTGCACGTGTGTGTGTGCACGTGTGTGTTTGTGTGCACGTGTGTGTGTGTGCACGTGTGTGTGTGCACGTGTGTGTGTGCACGTGTGTGTGTGTGTGCACGTGTGTGTGTCCACGTGTGTGTGTGTGTGTGAGTGTGTACACGTGTGTGTGAGAGTGTGTGTACGTATCTACGTGTGTGTGTGTGTGCACGTGTGTGTGTGTGCACGTGTGTGTGTGTGTGCACGTGTGTGTGTGTGCGCGTGTGTGTGTGTCTGTGTGCACGTGTGTGTGTGTGCACGTGTGTGTGTGTCTGTGTGCACGTGTGTGTGTGTGTGCACGTGTGTGTGTGTGTGCACGTGTGTGTGTGTGTGCACGTGTGTGTGTGCACGTGTGCGTTTACCGAAGTAGTCGGAGGGACCCAGGCGCCCGACTTCCACGAACTCCTCCCTCTCAGAGCGGCGCTGAAGGACGGCGGCGGTGCCCTGAGCACACAACAACAACAACAACATCATCACCATCATCATCACCATCATCGTCACATCATCATCATCATCATCAAATCTTCACCACGATCACATAATCGCATCACCATCATCACATTATCACACTGCTATTACATAACACTGGTCAACACACTTTTACTGGCATAAGGTATTCCAACGGTTTTAAGGTACTTTTGGGGTCTATCACATCAGGTTTTTGAGATATCAAATATTGCATTTTCAATCAAAACTGCAGAAGAAAAATATTAAATAAATGTGGATATCTACATAAAATTATATTATAAACACACTATCCTAAAAATACAGCACCATATTTTAACACTAAAGCAGTCACTGACTCGCAACAACTTGCAATCATAAGTGACAGAGTTAATTTCGGCTAAAATAAATGAAAATGTGGTATGCCGATAGCATAAAAATGACATGTGATAGAGCAAATCTGAGATCATATTTGGAATCAGCACCCTGAAATTAGTCTAAAACAGCTGCAAAAGTCCAGGCCAGAAAAAAAAGATTTTTTTTGTTGACCAGTGTAATTATCCACGAAGTGGTGGTGACGTCACCACGATGCTTGTGCCAGGGTAGATACACCTCGAGGCCACGTGAAGTGAGGAACGCTTGCTGGCAGGTCACGGGATAGACCCAGGTGTTATGAATTCACTTACTGAGATGACTTACAGATGCATCACCTGTGCTCCCCACTGTGCCACATACTCAAACAAAAACAAAGAACCCCCGTGTCGCCTTTAACGGACTGTTGGGGCAAGTGCTGATAGTGATTAGCACCTATGAAGGCCTGCACGGCACAAGAGGGGGTGGAGGGCCAGCACCACCTTTGGCCACCTTTGGCCGCCTTTGTCTCCCCAGTGGCGATGGTTACAGACTGCACAAGGTACTCGTGATGATCGTCGCTGGTGTTGGCCGTGAGCCAGATTCGTAGCGCAGCGCGCTAACCATTGCACCACCGCTCCCCATATACACAGCACAAAGATCCCCCGTTTTGCCTGAACAGACTGTTGGGGCAAGTGCTGTTTGCGAGTAGCACCTATGAAGGCCGGCACGGCACACTTACGAAGGAGGGGGTGGGTGGCCAACACTACACACGCACACACACAGACACACACACAGACACTTCCACGCACACAGACACACACAGAGACCCTTACACGCACACAGACACACACACAGACACTTACACGCACACAGACACACACACAGACACTTCCACACACACAGACACACACACAGAGACACTTCCACGCACACAGACACACCGAGAGACACTTCCACGCACACAGACACACACACAGAGACACTTCCACGCACACAGACACACACAGAGACACTTCCACGCACACAGACACACCGAGAGACACTTCCACGCACACAGACACACACACACAGACACTTACACGCACACAGACACACACAGAGACACTTCCACGCACACAGACACACACACAGACACTTCCATGCACACAGACACACCGAGAGACACTTCCACGCACACAGACACACACACACAGACACTTACACGCACACAGACACACACAGAGACACTTCCATGCACACAGACACACACACAGACACACACACAGACACACACACACAGACACACACACACAGACACTTCCACGCACACAGACACACACACAGACACACACAGACACACACAGAGACACTTCCACGCACACAGACACACACACAGACACACACAGACACTTACACGCACTTCCTGCCGCCCTGCTCCATTGCTCAAACACAATCCCGGCACAAATTAACCAGATGAAAGCCGACCAATTGAAATTCCAATTAATACCCCTACCCCCCCATCAACCATCAAACAGCGCCCCCCCCCACCTCGACCCTTCCCACTCCGACCCGCGCCCAACTTTTATTGCCAGTGGTTGGGCGTTGAGAGGAGGTCCGGTGTAGGAGGTGATCGGAATTAAAATAGCGCCGTGGTTTGAGTGACCGGAATAGCAGCGCCATCAACTCACCTCCAACCACCACCATCATCAGCATCACCATCACAATGGGGGCCTTTGATGTGGCGAGATGAAGGGTGGATGGGTGTGGGTGGGGTGGGCGGGTGGAGGGTCGATTGCAGTGGGGTTGGGGGCATTGCGTGCGCGCGAGTTTCTGTCTTTATTGTTGAGCGCGTGGGACGTATCCCGTGTCGGGTCGAGAGAGTGCGTGGAAACCCCATTTCGACCACGCACTGCGAGACGGGAGCTCAATGTGACCCCACGACCCGATGTTCGATTCCTGATCACGGTCACCGACAACACCGGTGACGATTAATCCGCACCGGTGCTGGGCTCCCCCTAGGTCGACTCAGCCTCAAATGAGTACTCGGTGTAGTAAACATCGCCACTAGGGTGACAAAGGCGGCCGGGCGTGGTTGCTGGCCACCCACCCCCTCGTGTGCCGTGCCGGCCTTCACAGGTGCTTTTCGCCAACAGCACTTGTCACAAAAATTCTGTTGAGGCTACGCGGGGGACCTTTGTCTTATGAGACCCACCAAGATTATTGTTGCATAAGCTGAAAACACAACGGCCAGTGACGACTGCAGCACGCACCATGCCAAACTTATGAAACACTGAGATATATATATATTTTCGAGTATCGGATGTTGGGGGGGGGGGGAGAACATTTTTCAATGAATCACTGTCAGAAATATAAGAGACCAAGCGGGGTGGAAGGCAGCGCCCCAACGTACCTCGACGGTAAAGCCGCCCAAGTGCCGAATACAGACTTCGCGGATTTTCAACGCGGTGCACTAAAGCTCACCGACTTTCCCCCCTCCTGCCCTCGCCGTCGGTGACAACCCCATCGTCCATCCCTCCGGCCCAACCGCCCATACGCACCACCCATCGCACTCGCTTTCGTCGTCAACCGCTCGCTGTCTCGCTGTCATCGTCGTTGACTTCAGCGCAATCGTCGCCACTCACCGCGCACCGCCGTCCCCTCTCATCGCCTCGTCTCACCTCACCACACCGTCTACGCACCTTAAAACTGAAACTCGTTTCTTTAGAACTGATTTCACGACGTCCCCCACACACCCCCCCCCCCCCGGTTTGCATGGCTGGTGGCTACACGCCGGGCGAAAGTAGTTCAACGTACATACGTACTGTATGTACAATGTCAAATTGATAATTCTCTGCTCAGCGCCTTGCTCAGGGCACCATCTAAATCAAATGAAGAGACGGTGCCGATGCGAACGCATTACTCCGGGGGAGGTGAGTGGTGGCGGTGCTGTCGCCGGACACACGGAACCCCGAGGAGACCTAGCGTTGAGATTCACGGCCAAGTTGGGGGGGGGAGGGGATGGCTACCAACACTGGCAGTGACAGTGGGGCCGTTGTCGTGTTGGCCAAAGCGGCGCAAGTGACAGCACGGGCCTGGGTTCGATCCCTGACGCGGGAACCTCTCGCTGTGGAGTTTGTGTGTGTGTGTGTGTCCATTTTTCTGCACGAGTTTCCTCCGGGTTTTCCGGGTTTTACTCCCATAACAAAACAAAAAACATACAAACGTACGTACAATGTAACCGGTAGTGGCCAAGTAATATCCCGATGCCGAAAAATGTACCCGTAAAAATAAATCTAATTTGGGTTACACACGCGGCGCGTGGCAACGTCGCGCCACTCTACCGCCTTGGCAGGCGCCTCCGTGAAAAGAGCCCTGAAACTCGGAGAGACTTTCCCAGAGAGACTATCGTAACGATAAAATAATAATAATAATGGTAATAATAATTGCGAATGTAATGAACCAGCGCTACCGTGAGAAAACCAACGCAGTAGTCTCATCATCATCATCATCTAAGTTCACAGTGACAGTGACGATGATGACGATTGCGAGGACGATGGTAATTATTGCTGGCGCTAATCTGCACGATCGCGATGACGTCGATCATAACAACGGCGACGATCACGACGATGGAACTTTATCTAGTAGTTTTGACAAGAGCGGATACAGTGCTCAAACTTGAAAACATAATAAAAGATATAGTACAGAAACCGAAGAGTGAAAACACATCACACACACACACACGTCCTTGAGTGCAGAGTCGTGTTTGTATCAACACAACGCTTCACGGTTGCCTCACAGCGGAATCAACGCTGAGCTCTGTTTTGACCTCAGATCCAAAATATACAGCGGCTGTTGCCTGAGTGTTGTGTGTGTGTGTATGTCTCTTTGTGCGTGTGCCGTTGCCTTTGTAGTGGCAGTGCAGTGGTTAGCGCTCTGCGCGACGAACCCGCCAGCTCGACTTTGGTTCCTGCTCACGGTCAACATCGGCGAACCCGTCGTGGGCCTCCCCTAGGTTGACTCAGCCTCAAATGAGTGCCTGGCGCGGCGTATACACATCAGCGCCTGGGGAGTCAATGGTGGCCGGCCGTGATGCTGGCCACCCACCCCCTCGTGTGCCGTGCTGGCCTTCATAGGTGCTACTCGCTAACAGCACTTGCCCCTACAGGCTATATGGGTGATCTTTGTTTCTGATTGTGTCTGTGTGTGAATGTGTGTGTCAATGTGGATGTGTGTGTATGTTTCATTGTGTGAGCATCGGTGTGTTTGTCGGTGTGTTTGTCGGTGTGTGTGTAGGTGTGTGTGTAGGCGTGTGTGTAGGTGTGTGTAGGTGTGTGTAGGCGTGTGTGTGTCTGTGTTAATGTCTACACAGCAACACGCCCGGCTCACTTTGTCTCCCCAGTGCTGATATTTACATAATGCACCAGGTACTAATTTAAGGCTGAGTCGACCTAGTGCAGGCCCAGGATTGGCTCAGACATCGCTGGGTTCTTGGCGCAGTGTGCTTCACCCCACATACAAGACAAAGATCCCCCGGATAGCCTTAACAAACTATTGGGGCAAGTGCTGTTAGTGAGCACCTATGAAGGCCGGAACAGCATGCATGGAGCTGGGTGGCCATCACCACACCCGGCCGCCTTTGTCTCCCTAGTCGCGATGTTTACACACTGCACCAGGTACTCATTTAACATTGAGTCGACCAAGAGGAGGCCCAGGACCGGTTCAGATAATCGTCACTGGTGTTCGCCGTGAGCGGGAATCGAACTCGGGTCGCCGCGCTAACTGCCGCACTACCGCTCCCCTGACACCCCGGTACACACCAACACACACCGATTCACAGGTACACACACGCACACACAGGTACATACACACACAGGTACACACCAACACGCACCGATTCACAGGTACACACACGCACACACAGGTACATACACACACACAGGTACACACCGACACACGCACACACAGGTACACACACGCACACACAGGTACATACACACACAGGTATACACCAACACACACTGATTCACAGGTACACACACGCACACACACGCACACACAGGTACATACACACACAGGTACACACCAACACACACTGATTTACAGGTACACACACGCACACACAGGTACATACACACACAGGTACACACCAACACGCACCGATTCACAGGTACACACACGCACACACAGGTACATACACACACACAGGTACACACTGACACACGCACACACAGGTACACACACGCACACACAGGTACATACACACACAGGTACATACACACACAGGTATACACCAACACACACTGATTCACAGGTACACACACGCACACACAGGTACACTCCAACACACACTGATTTACAGGTACACACACGCACACACAGGTACATACACACACAGGTACACATCAACACACACTGATTTACAGGTACACACACGCACACACAGGTACATACACACACAGGTACACACCGACACACACTGATTCACAAGTACATGCACGCACACACAGGTACATACACACACAGGTACATAAACACACAGGTACACACCAACACACACTGATTCACAGGTACACACACACACACAGGTACACGCACGCACACACAGGTACATACACGCACACACAGGTACATCCACACACAGATACACACCCACACACACTGATTTACAGGTACACACACGCACACACAGGTACATACACACACAGGTACACACACGCACATACAGGTACATACACACAGGTACATACACACAGGTACATACACACAGGTACACACAGGTACACGCACGCACACACAGGTACACACACAAATGCACACCAATAAGACACACAATCCGCAGCAAGTGTTCTTCTGCAAAGCCACCTTTGTTCCCACAAGCAGGAGGAGCAGCATGGATTCCCATGTCTCCCCCCCCCCCGTGTTCCTCCATGCCCATCACCCCCCACCCGACATCCCCATCCTGCCCCCGCCCCTCCCTCATCCTCCTCCATCGTAGAGAATTTACAGTCGTGGGCAGCGAAGAAGGGAACTCTTTCTTCTTCCACGTCCCTCCTCCACCTCCCCCCTGAACCCAATCCACCCCGCCCCCCACCTACCCCCCCTTACCCACAACCACCCCCACCCACCCACTACCACCCTCACCCCACTTCGCTGGGGCCAAAGATCCCCTACACATCCGATTCGAGACAAACTCCCAATCGGTCACCCACTGGGGGCTCATCATGGCCGGTTCGGAGGCACACCGCTCGAGATGACAACATGGGCTCAAACCCTGGGGTCCGGGCAGAGCCACCGCTAAGCTACAGCGGATTGGGGGGGGGGGCGACTGCCCCGTGCCCCGCGCTTTGAGGGGCATCCCGCGCTTCAACGTCGCGGCGTCAGATGTAATACCACCAGTTTAGTTTGAAGGCGTCGGCGGGGGGGATCCACATAGTGTGAGATGTTATCTCACCTGGTATGCAGGAAGTCATGGTTTCCATTCTGACCCTGACACCTGCTGTATATTTGGAGTTTGCGTGGCTTTCTCTCTCTCTCTCTCTCTCCCCGTGGTTGTGTGAATTTCTATCCAGCTTTTCCCTCCACATTTATGAATCAACATCGACACGTTCAAGAGGATTTGGCCGCTGTAAATGTCCAGATGATAAGCCACTTCGTTGAGCTATCATCGCATGTGGCCAGGTCGCTTCTGAAAAACAGCTCTTTAGCTCAGTGGGCCTTACCTGGTAAAATTAAAAATAGTTAAGTTTTAGTTTATATTTGCTCCGAGCCCCACAACCGCTCTATGGACGGGCCTCTAGATCTGGGTCTTTCCCTTCGCTCTCTCTCTCTCTCCCTGCCTCTCTCCCTGCCTCTCTCCTTGCCTCTCTCCCTGCCTCTCTCCCTGCCTCTCTCCCTGCCTCTCTCCCTGCCTCTCTCCCTGCCTCTCTCCTTGCCTCTCTCCCTCTATCTCCTTTCTCTCAGTCCCCGGGGGGGACATAATCGGCACCTCGGTGATGAGGAAGAAGTCGTCGCCGGGGTCTCCCTGGACCACGATCTTCTCCGCGTCCTCGAACTGCACCGGCTCCAGCGCGTCGGCCACCGTCAGCCGCTCCCAGTGCTCCAGCGATTCTGCAGCAACACAAAGACAAAGGTCCCCCATGTAGCCTTACGCACGAGACTGTTGAAAAGCAGCGGAGGGGGGGGGGGCAAGTGCTGCGTGCGAACAGCGACAGGGAAAGTGGTGCGGGCTGGAACCACGCCTGGCCGCCTTTGTCTCCCCAGTGCCGATGTGTTTTTTTTCCCTTAGCTCCACCAGGTAATCATTTGAGGTTGGGTCGACCTCGGAGGGGCCCAGCACCGGTTTAGATTTTCGCCAACGAAGTTGGCTGATATTTGTTTTCCTATGCTCCACCAGGTACTATACTCGCTTGAAGCCGAAGTTGACCTATGCTACACGACCTGCCACCGATGTACGCCGTGGCCTGGAAGCGAACTTAGGTCACCACCGGCTTCGTAGCACCGTGCATGAAACACGACTTGCACATCCTTCTAATGCACCCGCGCGCACACACACACAGGTCGACACGGCCATTGTGAATCCCCATGAGACTTCAGGCTCAATGAAAGGTGGCAGCCCCAACAGTCTGGAACGCTATCATCCCGCTGCACATTCGCAGCATCACCTCAATCGCCTCCTTCAAGAGACACTTAAAAACTCACCTCTATAACCACGCTTTCGAGCGACTCTGAGCTTGGCTCCACTGCCTCTGAGTTGCGGCCGTTACGTCCGCAAATTTGCGCGCGTTATAAATTGCATTATTATCAGTCCTTATATTCAACTAAACTATATATATTAAAAAATATATATTTTACTAGGTAAGACCCACTGAGCTATGTAGCTCTTTTTCAGAATGCGACCTGGCCACACGCAAATGATAGCTCAACGAAGTGGCTTTTCATCACGTAGGAAATAAACAGTAGCAGAAAAAACTCTAAATGCGCGTTGATTCTAAACGTTGGGGGAAAAACCGGAGGGGACCCACAACCCAGTGGGTTCAGTGACTCCGACATGGCCACCTCCGATCAGCTACGTACGGTGCGAAAGAAATTCAACATACGTACATCATGAGCCCCCTGTACTGCTGAGAAACACGGCTCCCAAGGGCTTGAACCCAGGATCTCGTCGGTGCCGACTCAGTAACTCCAACTCGGCCATTATGAACCCCCCCCCCCCCACCCGGTCACCACTTCGGATGCACCTAAATCCTGGGTGTGGTGGAGGCGGCGGCAGCAGGGTTAGGGAGGTGACGGGCGAAACGGAAAGAAAAAAAACCGAGAGAGAAAAAAAAACGGAAATGGATTTGGCTGAGGCCACGAACCCGGATTGTGTTCACACGCCGATCGGGTGGCCGGGACGCGAAATCCCGGCGCACTTTGGCGGCGCGAGGCGAGCCGGGCCGCTTCGGGCACCGCGCCTCAAATCCCCCAAAAACCCTCGCCGCCATAAACACCCCCCCCCCCCCCCACACACACACCTCATGTCTCTCCCGTGCGTCTCTCCCCCGACGTCTCACCTATACATCTCTCTCTCCCTGTGTTGCTCCCTGCGCGTCTCTCTCCTCCGTGTGTGTCCCTCCGTGCATTTTTCTCTCCCGTGAATCTCTCCGTGCATCTTTCTCTTCCGTGCGTCTCTCCCCGTGCATCGCTCCCCGTGTATCTCTCCCCGTGCGTCTCTCCCCGCGTATCTTTCCTAGGACTGGGTGTTTTAGTTCATAATAGCTGTGTTTGAGAGATAGAGATCCTGGGTTCGAGCCCGAGGACTGGGTTTTTTTCTCTCTCTCTCAGTGGGTTCATAACGGCCTAAAGCCTTCTCCCAGGGGTCGGCAACTAGACTCCCATGGTAAACTGCACTTCCATGTTAAACTGGACTCCCCCGGTAAACTGGACTCCCATATTAAACTGCAATCCAATGTTAAACTGGACTCCCATGTTAAACTGCACTCCCATGGTAAACTGCACTCCCACTGGTAAACTGCACTCCAATGGTAAACTTGACTCCCATGGACCTAGTCAATGTACCCGCAAGAGACTAAGCTTTGGCCGCATCTCTTTTATCTCTCTCTCTCTCTCCGACTCTCTCAGGGTGTCCATAACGGCAGCCGTGTCAGCGCCACCGATCCATCAGTGGCTCTGAGAATCCTCGACTCGAGCCCTGGCTGGAGACGGGCGTGCTCTCTCTTTCTCTCTCTTCTCTCTCTGTCCATCTCAGGAGACTCATAATGGTCGTGTCAAGCGAGAGTCACCGGGCCAATGAAGCAAAGTTGCGAGAGGAGAGTGAAAACCGCCCCCCCACCCTCCCTCCCTCCCGGGTTCCGAGCGTCGCGCCGCCGAGTAACTGGAGCCCGGCGCGAGCGCCGCGGTGGTGGTGGTGGCAGTGGTGGCGGCGGTGGTGGTGGTGGTGGTGGTGGCGGGGGTACAGGTTTATGCGGCGACCAGCCGACCGTGCCGAGTCTGCGGCTCTTGTTTTGGCAAAGGCGGCTGTGCGTGGAGGCAGAGCGGCGCCTATCAGATGGTGGACGAGGATGCGGGCGGGCGATCGGGTGAGCGAGAGGCCCCGTCTCTACCGAACACCCAATATGTGTGGGGGGTTGGGGGCACCATAGTCTGGAGGGGGGGAATGTTGCTGGCGTGAGGGGGGGGGCATCATCACCGTCTGTCCACGTTGCGATAACCTCGTAGAAATACGCGGAAGCCGCATCGAGAAATCTGCGGAAGGACTGTTCCAATGGCCGGATTTCTGTTCACTTCATTTAACGTGGCCCAGTTTCGTCTACATTAGAGATCGTCAGTGCCGTGTAGCTCTGATGCTCTGCATGGTGGTGCGATATTAATCCTGATTAAGACTCCTCATCAGTGCAGTGGCTCTACTCACCTACATCACGAATGTTAGTACTGGATTCATTTGTATTACTGATCATCAGCATGGTATGGGCTCTGTTAACCGTGTTGGTTGGACAGAATCAGAATATGTATCTATACTGGAGGAATCCGATGAGTCTATGAAGCTCTTTTCACAGCTCTGCAGACGGAGGGCCGCGTCTGCAGCGCGATTCTTTTCCCGCCACGGGACGTCACGCGACAGAGCCATCAGCGGTCGTTGTGCAGAATCGTATCGTATACGATAGCAGGAAGAAGAAAAAGTTTTGCTGGCTGGCTGGCTTCCTGCCTGGTGCGCGGGCAAGTGCGCGGTAGTGACGTCACCATGCACTACTTGCGCGGTGACGTCCCCCGCATCCCGTGTGTCCCACGGAAAAGGCGCAGGCAGTGCTGCAACAAGTAACGGCATACATTGGGAGGCAATTCGCCCTTTCTTTCCATAACTCTCGCTCCGCACAATAAATTAAAGACGTGGATGACGTGCAAAGAAACAATCGAGCAATTAATTGTGTCGAGAGAGAGAGGGAGAGAGACGTGGGGCGTGGGAGGCGTGGAAGTCTGCGCGTTTGTTTTGTTACCCCAAGGCTGCCAGAGAGAGGCCCTGATGACGAACTCAGAAAGCGCGCTACAAGATTCTCTCGAATTTCTCCGGGCACGGGAGAAAAACGTGGCGATGGAAGAATTGCCGGTGTGTGTATATGTATGCGTGAACACGGTGTTGGCCACCCACCCCCTCGTGTGCCGTGCCGGCCTTCATTGGTGCTCGCTAACAGCACTTGCCCCAACAGACTGTTCAGGCTATACGGGGGATCTTTGTCTTTTTTGCAAGTATGTGCCAGTCTTCTCAATCAGTCAACCCATGGCACCTGGGTCTATCCCGTGACCTCCTGCGAGCACCCTCTCGACACTTCGCGTGGCCTCGAAGTGCACATAGACTGGCACAAGCACCGTGGTGACGTCACCTGCCACCTCGTGGCGATGGCCGTTGTTGTGTATGTGCCTCATAATGAGTACCTGGTGTGACGTGTAAACATCGCCACTGGAGAGACAAAGGCGGTCGGGCGTGGTGCTGGCCACCCAGCCCCTCGTGTGCCATTCCAGCCCTTCACAGCTCTTTGTGAACAGCACTTTCCCTAACACTCTATTTTGGCGATATGGGGGATCGTTGTCTTTGACTCGGGAGGGAGTTGGATGGAGGTGGTGGTGGTGGGGATGAGATGACTATGCTGGTCCCATTCGTTCGTTCGGAGTCACTGAAGCCTCGGCTGGAATGACGGCTCCCAATCGAGCGCCGGTTACGTGCGTGGGGCTTGCAGGCGGCCAGCTCAGCATCGCCTTATGAGCACGCACAAGGACAAAGATCCCCCGTATAGCCTTTAACAGACTTTTGGGGCAAGTGCTGCTGGGCGAGTACCATCTATGACGGCCGGCACGGCACACGAGGGGGTGGGTGGCCAGCACCACGCCCGACCGCCTTTGTCTCCCCGGTGGCGATGTTTACACACCGCACCAGGTACTTATGTGAGGCTGAGTCGACCTAGAGGAGGCCCAGAAGCAGATTCAGATAATCGTCACTGGTGGTGGCCGTGAGCGGGAATCGAACTCGGGATGCCGGGTTCGTAGCACGGCACCCTAACCACTACAGTACCGCTCCCCACATTCACACGTTCATGCACAAATACACATGCAAGCAGATGCGCATGTACACAAAGACAAAGATCTCCGTATAACCATAACAGATTGTTGGCGCAAGTGCTGCTAGCAAGCACCCACGTGCGCCGTGCCAGCCTTCATAGGCGCTTGCGGACACGGATGCACACACGCGGACACGGACTCACAGACGCGGACACACACACTGACACACACACACACGCGGACACCCCGTGCAAGGTTTATACCTGCGTCAATCAAACCGCGGCGCGTGTGCATTCGCACGCTGCGAGAGGGGCAAGCTTAAGTTCCGCATGGCACAATTTGTTCTTTTCTGCGCGCTGGAATTCACGGGACCTGTTTCCTGCACCTCCGCGTTACCCTTACAGGTGCCCCCCCCCCTCCCCCTGCCTTGCCTCGGAGCCTCAATGGGCTCCTCCTGCCACGTGGTCTCAGGAGACACGGCAAGCACCATCGCTGCCGTGGATATTCACGGCGACGACAGCTCGAACGCCGCTACCGTTCAGTGCTAATCAATGGACGCAAACAAGACTTGCAAACAAGACTTCTTGTAAAGCAGGCTCGTGAACACGATTCGTAAACAAGAGTTGAGGCCGTGGTGAGGGTTGGTTGATTCCAGATGCGAATCCAGTTTCTGTGCCACTCTCTCTCTCTCTCTGGACTCCCCATCTCCCTGTCTCTCCATCCTCCTGTCTCTCCATCTCTTCCCGTCTCTCTCTCTCTCCCCGTCCTCATGATGCTTCACATATTTCGAAGAAGAAGAAGAAATGCACCTCTGTAATATTCAGTGTTCCACTTTGTACAGCTACATTATGCATTTGTGTTGTTTCTTGTAAGCAATTAAATTGATATTCAACGGCAAATTTTCTCCCATCTCCCCCCCTCTCTCTCTGTTTTTCTCTCTCCCCCCCACCCGCCCCGTGTCGCTCTCTGCAGGAACCTGTTTGAAGTGGAACAGGTAATTCACGTTAGACGAGGGAGTTCACGAGAATAGAGAGGCTGCAAAACTCCGAACACACACACGTGGGGGATTGCTCATGCGCACACATACGTGCACACATACTACGTATGTGGACATTTCACTCGCATACGCGTGCACGCGCATTTATGTGTGCACGCGCATTTATGTGTTCACGCGTGTGTGTGCGTGTATGTATGTGTGCGCGCGAGTGCATACATGCACTCGCGCGCACACACACGAACACATGCACACATGTACATATATACATACGCAGACTCACACAAAGGCACACAAGCACATGTGAATATACAGACGTACACACAGGAGCACATGCACGCAGAGGACACGTACGCATGTTGCACTTTTTTCGCACCAACCATGCTAATCGGAGATGTATAAAGATCACTGTGTAGCCTACACAGTGCTGTTGGGGCAAGTGCTGTTAGCGAGTTGCACCTATGAAGGCCGGCACGGTACACGAGGGGGTGGGTGGTCAGCACCACGCCTGGCCGCCTTTGTCTCCCCAGTGGCGATGTTTATTTTTTACACATCGCACTGGGTTAGGGGTCAGCAACCAAACTAACAGTGAAGAGCCATTTCTCTTGCAAATACTGTACCAAAAAAAACCTCAACATTTCAAGAGCCGCAATGCATGTGAATGCGTCCAAACATGACACTGCGTCACGAAGCAGTCCGCGAAGAACCGCACGCGGCTCTGTAGGTGGCCAACCCGTTGCGCTCGCTACTCATTTGAGGCTGAGTCAACACGCACACTCACCTAAGATGGAGACTTTGCTCAAGAACTCCGCGTACATCTTCCTCTTGCGAAGCGTGCTCCCCTGTCACGGAGAGAGAGAACGCAGCCGGTGTTAGAGTGGAAGTGGGAGCGTGGCTCACGGCAGAGGCTCACGGCGGAGGCCCACGGCGGAGGCCCACGGCGGAGGCCCACGGCGGAGGCCCACGGCGGAGGCCCACGGCGGAGGCCCACGGCGGAGGCCCACGGCGGAGGCCCACGGCGGAGGCTCACGGCGGAGGCTCACGGCGGAGGCTCACGGCGGAGGCTCACGGCGGAGGCTCACGGCGGAGGCTCACGGCGGAGGCTCACGGCGGAGGCTCACGGCGGAGGCTCACGGCGGAGGCTCACGGCAGAGGCTCATGGCAGAGGCCGCGTTCGGAGCCACCCGATGGCGCACGGATCTCCCCATCGGCACTGCCACCTGAGGCTCTCCTGAAACTCACTCGGCACGGCATTGAGAATTAACGGCGGGTGCAACGTTCCTTGTTCGATGGCGCACTGCACCTCCTGTGCTCCCACCATTCACAAAGCCCACGATGGTCAGCGCAGCGTGGCGCGGTGAAGTATGGTCAAACAACGGCGTGGGCAAGGCCCCCATCCAGCAGCGGATGGACAAAATTGTCCGTGCCATGCCGTTCCGCCGTACTCGCAAAATACGACGGGCAGACGGCAATCGTCGTTTGCTAACTCCACGGAAACGTGACACAACATCGTAGTTTGGGACCATCAGCCTATTGGGCTATTGTTGTTGGATAAATTAATTAATTGTGCTGGACTAATGCATTGGGTTTGGTGGGATGGGAGCCCACAATTTCGACGCAGCTCTGCTGGCTGAATGCCCCAACACGGCCATGATGAACCCTCTGCAAGCGAAGTAAAACAACTCGGCCACCTAACGAATAGAAAATAAATTAACCGCGTTACTACATTGCACAAAAGTTGAATGCCCTTTCGCAGAACTTTCATCTTTCAACTCCAAAGAGAAGCATTTCCAACCACAATAAAGGTCGATATCAGTTTCTTAAATATATCACCCTTTACCAACACGCACTGACCAGCGCGGTGAAGTATGGTGATAGCAATCATTGCCTCCCCCCCCCCCACCGTCGCCTTCTCGCTGTGTGGCTGAACCAGTCTGGGCAGCAGCAGCGGCGACAGTAGCAGCAAGTCTCCCCAGGGCTTTGCTTGACTCCGCTCAATTATTCACCCGAGTTTGGCGCACGACACGGCGGCACTATCACAGGCAGCAAATCATTTGATTAATTGCCCGCGGTCTGAGATGTGTAAGTGGCAGTGTGGCCCGGAGGCGAGGGGTTGGTGGGCCACTGGGTGATGGGGCCCAGCGAGGGAGTGATTGCTGGAGAGTGCACGTAACACTATTTGAAAAACTAAACTGATTGTTTACACAAATGTCAGCTCAACGAAGCGGCTCATCATCATGTGGACATTTGGAGCAGCCAAATACTCCAAACGCATAATGCCGATTAATTATAAATGTGGAGGGGGGAAACCCGGAGGAACCTGGAGAAAAATCCACGCGATCACGGGGAGAGAGACGCACAAACTCCAAATATATAGCAGCAGGCGTCAGAGTCGGGATAGAACCCAAGACCACCTGTAGACCAGGCGAGGTAGTTAACATCTCATAGCCACCGTGGCGTCTGTCTCGCCACTGGGTGGAGTTGTGCGGGCCGCAATGAAGGTTCAGGCCAGAGGTCGCAAACGAGTTTTGATTCCTTACCCGTACCCGTACCCGGCCGCACCAGGGTCGCAAACGGGTACCCGTACCCGTACCCTACCCGATACCCGGCTACCCGTACCCGGCCGGGTACGGGTAGGGTACGGGTATCGGGTACCCGATTGCGACCTCTGGGATGAAGCCATATTGCAGGCACGGGTGGGTTGATTCTAGGAACTTGAATTGTGAGAAGAGACAAGACGTTGGGAAATGAGTGACAAACGGTTACTCACCAGTGACTCACAGCCTACCCGTACCCGGCCGCACCAGGGTCGCAAACGGGTACCCGTACCCGGCCGGGTACGGGTAGCCGGGTATCGGGTAGGGTACGGGTATTGGGTACCCGATTGCGACCTCTGGTTCAGGGACATCCAATGCCTCGCGTGACCACACGTGTGTGCAGGCTTGTAAAGATATATAGCACGCAAGCACGCGCGCGCACGTGCACGCGCGCGCGCGCAAATGTACAAGAACATACAGCAACACACGTGTATCACTTATGCGTACAAAGACAACAATCCCCCCCCCACCCCCGCATAGCCTTAATAGACTTTTGGGGCAAGTGCTGTTAGCGAGTAGCACCTATGAAGGCGGGCACGGCACATGATGGGGTGGGTGGCCAGCACCACACCCGGCCTCCTTTGTCTCCCTCGTGGCCTTGTTGACACACTGCACCAGGTACTCATTTGAGGCTGAGTCGACCTATGGGGATGCCCAGGACCGGTTCAGGTATTCGTCACTGGTGGTGGTTGTGAGCGTGAAACTCATGCATATGTACACAGTTTCAAACGCACACATGCACTGACTGTGCCACATGGACACACACACATACACAGGTACACGGGTGCACGTGTACAAATCACACTGCCACACCCACATACATATGCAAATATATACAGCTACGCAAAGAAACGACATATTGCATTTAACAAGCTGTTGGGGCAAGTGCTGTTAGCGAGCACCTGCGAAAGTCGTAATGATAAACGGTGGGTGACAAAAATCATGCTCAGCTGTCTTTGTCTCCCCAGTGCTGATGTTTACAAATTGCACCAGGTACTCATTAGAGTGCAGATATCCGCCACTCGTGTTGGCTGTGAGCAGGAATCGTTCTCCACACACACAACCCTTATACTCACACCCCACACACTCACACCCCCACAATCACATCCCCAACTCCCCACACATTCCCCACACACTCACCCCACAACAACAACCGCCATTCGCCACTAAGTGGCGGTGATGTCACCACGACGCTTGTGCCAGGCAATGTGCACGTTGAGGCCACGTGAAGCTTCGAACGCCCGCTGGCAGGAGGTCACAGGGCAGACCCAGGTGCTACGGGTCGATCGACTGAGATGACTGGCTGATGCACCACCTGTGCCCCCTACTGTGCCAACTTGCTGTGCTTTAGCCACCCGGCGCTCTGCTCGTTGTTGTGAGCGTCGCTCCTCCACCCTCCGTTGTTGTTGGAGGGCGACTGCCTCCAACTACCCAGTAGCGTCCTTCACGAGCCTCCTCCACAGAGGCCGATCTTGACACCGCTGGTACCAGTCATCGGCAAGTCCACTCAGCTCCACGTCCTTCTGTAACACATCACTCCATCTTTTCTCCAGCCAAAGCCACACCCGTTTAGCCCCCTCTATCTGGCCGAACAAAAGCTGTTTAGGCATGCGGTGACTGGGCATGCGGGCTATATGACCCAGCCAACGCAGCCTTGCATGCCGGAGGAGCTCACCGATGGGACTTTGTCCAGATCTTTAAAGGATTTGTGAGCTCCTCACACAATCCAGCCTGGTTAAACCCAGGATGAATCGTAAGCCGGCAAGCCTAAATGTTTTTAACCGTTGAAGATGCTCTATTAGGGGGGTCCACGTTTCGCAAGTATAGAGAGGAAGGGAATAACCGTGGCCGAGAAGACCTGAAGCTTCGTGCGGAGCGACAGACCAGGTAACTTCCACACAGCATTACACAGCCGATGAAACGATAATGCTGCTCGACTGATTCGGAGTGCGACCTCTGCTGTCAAACCGGAGCCGGTCATGAGCACACTGCCCAGGTATGGGAAACTCTCCACTCTCTCCACAACTGCCCCATCACTGATTGGGAGTTGTGGGGGCGGAGTGTCCGATGGCACAAAACACCCAGGCAGGTGCTTAGGCCCTGGTGGGGCCGACGGCAAGGCCACCCCCTCTCAGTAGCAAGCTGCAGGTTCAGCAGCAGCGCCTCCAACTCCTCCTCTGAGTGAGCAGCAATTACCAGATCATTGGCATACATAACGTGGTTGACCAATAGGGAGCCATCCCTTGACCGCACCCGGGCATCGATCAGCCTCCCATTGTATCTGGACCAGATGGAAATTCCTCCGGTACGGCCATCGAAGGCTTCACGAACTACGTGGTCGAAAAAGATGTTAAATAATGTGGGAGCCAGAGGATATCCCTGTCGCACCCCAAGGTGAAGGGGATTACAAGGTTACTTTTTTGATGAGTCAAAAAGCGATTTGTGATCGCGGGCCATTGAGGCAGACTCCATCTCCTCAGCAACCCGTGACCACCACCCATCCTTGCAGCGCCTCACGGCTCTCCGAACCTCCGAGCAAAGGCTGCGGTAAGCCTCCTCATTCTCTGATGTAGGATGCTGTAAACGATGAGAGTGGGCCTGTCGCTTTTTCTCAGCCAGCCTGAATACCTCTTCTGTCAGCCAGGGTCTCTGGGGAGGCCTGGACCATTTACCCAAGGCAGCCATTGCAGATGCATGAGCCATAGTCCTAAACCTCGCCCATTTCCCCTTGACATCTGGAGGAGTGGGGGACGATGCCAATCCCAGCCGCAAGCGATGATGACATTCTCGCTTGAAACTTTCATCAGCTAGCTGACACCATGCCACTATGGGTTTGAATGGGTCCTGGGTGTACACCCACCACCAGAGTGGAAGAATGGCAGGCGCATCTTACAAATGACAAGTCGATGGTCAGTGGGCAGATAAGCTCCACGCTAGGTCCTGGTGTCAAGGACATGGGCCCGCATCCGCTGTTCCGTCACTATGTAGTCCAGCAGATGTTCTTTCTTGGACCCGGCATGCAACCATGATGTTGTGTGGATGCGCTGATGCTGGAACAGCGTGTTGGTAATCACAAGCCCATGGGCTGCACAAAAATCTAGCAGCCTACTAGCATTGTTATAGAGCTGATCTGGTCCATGCCTTCCAATTACTCCAGACCAGGTGCCAGCATCATGACCAACTCGGGCATTTAAGTAAAAGGAGGTCGTAGAAAGCATCTGACTCATCGGCCTTGCCTGCATCCCTCCACGGATGTTCGTCTTCGGTGGGGGCATAAGTAACCACGACTACCACTCCTCGCCTCCGGTTGATGGGAAGGTGAGCCCAAAGTAGCCTGGGGCTTACCGCTTCCCACACCTCACCGCCACGCTCCCACACCCCCTTCATTCTTTTGTTCAGAGGAAGAGCCACTCCGTGTTGTTTGGCAATCTCCTGCCCCGAGTAGAGGACTGTCCACCCCTCATGGTGGCAGGAGCCAGAGCCGGACCACCGGACCTCCTGAATACCACAGAGATCCAGGCGGTATCGGTCCAGCTCCCGACAGAGGAGTTGCAGCCTCTCCTCCACAGTGAGCGTTTGAACATTCCACGTGGCCATCCGCAGTAGTTTTATGTTATTTCTGGAGGAACCCCGAGGGTAAGGATTCAGTCTCCTGGCTCCATCAAATGGGGTTTGGCGAGGAGATGTCATCAGCGCCTATCCCCCCGGAGCCTCCGGCACAAGCTTAATTAAATTTTTCAAACGTGGTTTGGTGGTAATTAATTGAAGGTGGAAGGGTTACCAGCCCTTCGCACCCATCCAGAGCCCCCATTTGGCTGCTGTGGTGGTTACAAACGCCATGAGGGGAAAGGCCAATCTAAATTGGCCCTCCCACCCACGGCACTGCCCACCACAGCGTTGCCGTCCGACACCAACAAGGAGGTAGGAGGTTGTTTTTTCCGGACTCACCCCACACACACCTCGATACATACACATCCTACACACACACCCTACACACACCTCCTACACACACACATACACACTCCATGCACGCACTCCCCGTGCCCCCTGGGTTGTCAAATTTCGCACCAAACTCGTACTACCAGAACGAGGGCTCGACTTGACGTGGCCTTCATGTTCTCCCCCGTTTTATTGATTGATATTTTTGCAGTTGTCTTTGAAACGACATTACAATTTTTTGTCTTCATCAAGTGTATGACACAGGTTGAAATTGTTTTCTCTCGATTCCAGATCCACCACCTCTCCCCCCTCCCCCTCCTCCTCCTCCACCTCCACCTCCTCCCCCCTCTCCCTCTCGACAGGAGAGCATCATCTTTTTTATTCATGCGGGAGGAATCCGATGAGCTGTGAAGCTCTTTTTCACAGGTGTCCAGTCGAAAAAACAGGTCTTTGCCTTCAGTGATCCCTTACCTTACAATGGGCCCTCAGCTATGATATAGTTTTTCATCAAACGAGGCTGCTGATGAGACAGTGGATGTCTAAACCGGTCGGGGGTTTTGCTTGTGCTGTACCAATGCTGCTGTGTGGCTGACGGGATGTGTAACGCACAGCTTGAGTGTTGACATGGAGAGACAGGGTGTGTGTGAATGATGCGGCATTGTTTTGTGATCTTGACTGTTGTGTTATCATCGACGGCAGCCGAGCACGACCGAGGGGATGAACTCACACCCAGTGGGGAGCGGTGGCGCAGCGGTCAGCGCGCCGCGCTACGAACCCGACGGCCCGAGTTCGAATCCCGCTGTCACGGCCACCAACACCGGTGACGATTATATGAACCGGTCCAATGAGTACCTGGTGCGGTGTGTTTGAAACATCGGCACTGGGGAGACAAAGAAGTTCGGGCGTGGTGCTGGCCTCCCATCCCCACGTGTGCCGTGCCGGCCTTCATAGGTGCTACTCGCTAACAGCAATTGCCCCAAAAGTCTGTTAAAGCTACACGGGGGATCTTTGTCTTTTTTTTGGACCCACACACTGAGCAGCCCATCACAGTGAATCACTAGATAACCGGCCCTAGAACCAACCAAGTAACCGATACAATAACTGTTCTGATAACTGACCTAGCACTGATCAAATAAATCAACCCATAACAGACCGAATAACTGACCCCGATTACCAATCCGATAACAGCCCCCCCTATAACTGCCCCTATAACGGACCAAATTAATGACCCCATCACCGACTCTACAACTGGCCGATTAACTGTCCAATAGCTGACCCGATGACCGACCCAATGACTGCACGGACGAGCAGAGCGACCCACCATGAGGATGCGGCGGTAGCTGTCGCGGTCGATGCCCCACAGCTTGAGATCGGTCTTGGCCTTGACGGTGGCGGCGCGTGGCGTGCCGTAGATGAGCGCCAGCTCGCCGAAGCTGCCGCCCTCGCTGATGTTGGTCACCCACTCGTTCTTCACGTACACCTGTGGGGGCGGCAGGCAGCAGGAATAGCGGCAGCAGCGGCCGTGAAACTCGCCGGGATTTTTTTTTACGCAAGCTTTGACAAAAACAAGCGGAGAGGTGGTTTCAGCTGACAGGTTAGCAGAGCCCTCACTGTGCCAATGGGCTCTTCGCTACCGACAATGCTACATACACCATTGGTACCTCATTTGTCAGTAAAAAATATGATAATTGGTTTTTTACCCTTTTATCTGGCAACAAAACTGACACCTTTTTACGATGAGTCATGTTTGCATAGACCACAATACCGGCAGTCATAATGCAAAAAAAAAGGTGTCGGTTTTGTTGCCAGATAAAAGGGTAAAAAACCAATTATCATATTTTTTACTGGCAAATGAGGTACCAATGGTGTAAATGCGTACCCCGAGCTCTCATACTCTGATGGTGCATTGTCTTTGAGTTGTGCGCCTTTTGGCGTCATCTGGTCCAACACCATGTGAGACTAGGCTCTAAGGAAAGCTGTCTCGGGTGTGGACCAATAAACTTCAAGGACAGTGCATACATTATCAGAGTTATGTTTTTGTTTGCATTATGACTGCAGGTATTGTGGTCTATGCAAACATGACTCCTCGTAAAAAAAAGGTGTCAGTTTTGTTGCCAGATAAAAGGGTAAAAAAAACAATTATCAATGCTACATACCCCACCATCCTATCCCACGATCAGAGGGACATCTGCCCCCTTTCATCGTGATCAGCGGACATCTCCCCCCCCACTTCCTCGTATCCCCCGTGATCGCCGCTGCCCACCACTAGGGTCTCTAAACGAGGGAGCCTCGCCGGTCCGGTGGGGGAGGCGGCGCTGGCTCCAGGCCTCGTGGCCGAATTGAAGTTTGACCGTGACGGCAGAGACTTGGGTGGTAGGAAGGGGGCTCGCTTGGGGGGGGGGGGTGTAGGGAGGGGCTTCAACCAGGAGGGACTCCGAAGAAGGGGGCTCTCAGTCTTGATTTGAAGCTTTCGTGACTGCAGGAATCCATACTTTTGGTTTCTTTCGGTAAAGTCACGGAGATAGAAAATTAATCAATCGTAACACAGGTGAGAAGACGGTCGCTTGTGTTGCGATCGAAACGTCGTGATCTATGAAGGAACCAAAGAGTAATGGAGCTCTCGTTTGGAGACTTGGGGCCGAGAGAGGAACCCTCGTGGCTGGCGTCAGGGATAGAGCTAGGGTTAGTTAGCGTTGGAGCTAGGGTTAGAGCTAGGGTTAGAGCTACGGTTAGTTAGGGTTAGAGTTAGGGTTAGAGCTAGGGTTAGGGTTAGAGCTAGGGTTAGAGCTAGGGTTAGAGCTACGGTTAGTTAGGGTTAGAGTTAGGGTTAGAGCTAGGGTTAGGGTTAGAGCTAGGGTTAGAGCTAGGGTTAGTTAGGGTTAGAGTTAGGGTTAGAGCTAGGGTTAGTTAGGGTTAGAGCTAGGGTTAGAGCTAGGGTTAGAGCTAGGGTTAGAGCTAGGGTTAGAGCTAGGGTTAGAGCTAGGGTTAGAGCTAGGGTTAGTTAGGGTTAGAGCTAGGGTTAGAGCTAGGGTTAGTTAGGGTTAGAGTTAGGGTTAGAGTTAGGGTTAGAGCTAGGGTTAGTTAGGGTTAGAGCTTGGGTTAGAGCTAGGGTTAGGAGCTAGGGTTCGGGTTAGAGCTAGGGTTAGGGTTAGAGTTAGGGTTAGTTAGGGTTAGAGTTAGGGTTTGAGCTAGGGTTAGGGTTTGAGCTAGGGTTAGTTAGGGTTAGAGTTAGGGTTAGAGTTAGGGTTTGAGCCAGGGTCAGGGTAAGGCTGCAATGCATATTTAGGGTTAGAGCTAGGGTTAGGGTGAGGTTGCGCTGCATGTTTAACCCCAGGTCTCGGGGTGAGAGGTCGCATGCCCGGTGAGCTCCATGGAATTGTCTGAAAAGCTTTAGAAGGGCAGAGCAGAGGGGCAGCAAAGCGGAGCGGAATAGCCCAGACCCCTCCTTGAAGCTCCGCATTACGGCCGCGGCTCATGTGTGTGTGTGCACGTGTGTGCGTATAGTGTAGCGGTTATCGTTCGATTCCCACTCACAGCCAACACTAGTGACGAATATATGAACCGGTCCCGAGCCTCTCCTAGGTCGACTCAGCCTCAAATGAGTACCCGGTGCGATGTGTAAACATCGCCACGAGGGAGACAAAGGCAGCCGGGCGTGGTGCTGGCCACCCACCTCCTCGTGTGCCGTACCGGCCTTCACAGGTGCTGCTCGCTAACAGCACTTGCCCCACACTGCTGCCGCCGCCGCCGCTCTGCGACGCGCCAGGCAGGCAACGCGACGACGTCTCTAAACCAGCCCACGCGCTCGGATCCGTGGCGTCTCCTCCTCTCCTCCTGCCCGTCCGTCGGCTGCGGTGTAATTCTTCGCGGCGCTCGGGGTGCGCGCTCACGCGTGGCCAGGTCGAGCGAGGAGATCGAGAGGTGAGAGAATCCGTCGGGCCGGCAGTTGGGGGGGCGGGGGGGTCACTGCCGTTACTCTGCTGCGCCTGGGGCCACAACAGAAGTTTCCCTCTGCGTGACCCCCTCCACCTGCCCCCCCACCCACCCACCCCCAACCGCGTCCGCGACAGCGCTCACTCAGATTGCTCGACACCCGGGCTCATTTAAGCTGCGCAAAGCGAGGTGCAAAGTGGTCTGCCGCCGCGATCACTATCCCATTGGGGGGGGGCAGGTGGGGTGGGGGTAGTGGAGGCGCGAGGAAACTCGAGATGATAATTACGGAAAGGCATTCTGCGTCTGAATTTCCCTTTTTTTCTCGTCACTCAGTGGATTGTCGTTGTTGTTGTTGTTGTGTGGTTTTTCTTTTCATCGGGAGTGATTATAATTCGTGTGCGTGTGGAGCGCGCGAGCGTTTGGACCCCCGACCCCCCCTTCTCAGCTGGACCGGGGGAGGGGGGGGAGAGAATTACCTCGTTTTGTTTTTTCCAACTATCCAGGCGTGCACTGGATAGTTGGAATTAAGGCCGTGGCTTTCCCCAATTGTGCGATGCTTAAAGCAGTGTTCTTACATTGCAAGGCCCGCGGGGCCGCCGGCGGCCTCTGGTAGCCTGTAGTGCGGCCCTCCCCCGACAATACGACCAAAGTAAGTTGTTTTTGTCTTGCAGGCGGCGTGGCGGCCCTCGCACTGGTCTCATTGGCGAAATTGGCTCCCCTTCTGGAAATTAGTGAGGAACACCGGCTTAAAGTGACCGACGGACGGATGCAAGCACAGGCACGCACAAAGATCCCCGTGTAGCCCTTAAGAGACTGTTGGGGCAAGTGCTGTTAGCGAACACCTATGAAGGCCAGCGTGCCACGCGAGGGGGTGGTGTGGCCAGAACCACGCCCGGCCGCCTTTGTCTCCCAAGTGGCCAGGTTTGCACACAACACCAGTTACTCATTTGAGGCTGAGTCGACCTAGGGGAGGCCCATGACCGATTCAGATAATCGTTACTTGGTGTCGGCCGTGAGCGGGAATCAAACTCGGGTTGCCAGGTTCGTAGTGCGGCGCGCTAACCGCCACGCTACCGCTCCCCTGAAATATAATGACACGCCACAAACTCGCACCCATTCTGCAGCGGCAGCGATGCCCACATTATCACGAAGCGCAAAGCGCGATCACTCGCAGCGCATTTAACCCAGCAAGCATCGGAGGCGACGGCATCAGAAACGGCATCAGCAGCAGCAGCAGATAGCAACGGCGGCGGTAGCGGCAGCGGCAGCATGGAGCCGTCTCGCGAAAGTGAGGTTTGCGCCCCGTCCGTCCCCCGCCTGTCAGGACGCTGCGATGGAAACACAGACGGCACTGGGAGCACGCCCAGCGGAGCGCGCCCAGCTGTCAAGAGGGGAACCCGGACCGTGTCACCCGATAGCTACAACAACGGAAATAAATAAATAATGATCACCCCCTCCCCTGCCCCTCCGCCCCCCATCGCGGTTTCTAAGAAGAGCCTCTTGCGGCCTGTGACGCCAAAGCAGCCAGCCGCAGGACAAGAACGGGGGGGGGGGCGGGGGTGTTCGGTGGTGAAGATCGCAGCGGCAGCACCAGGTGAGAGGAAGATCAATCGTGCCCACAGTGGTTTGTGGTCTGCCATAAGAACTCGCCGAGTTCGCGGCGTTTGGTTCACGGCCATGGCTTGACGAGACAGAAAGACGACGACGACGCACACTCGCGGATTACGCGACGCGGCTCTTCCGAGGCGCGCTCGACACCGCGAGCGTTCGGTAGGCCCCCCCCTACCACCACCGCTCGCCTCCTCCCTACACCGAATTCCCTAACCCGACCATGGGCCACGATAAGACCGTGAGGCTCGGAGAGCGGTCGTGGAATGCCCGGGGCCAGGACTTCTGGCAATTGAGAGGGCGAGTCCCGAAAAGCGACACAACTTTACGCCAAAGTGTCATTAGTTCTGGATCGTCGTTACGAGCGTGGTCGTAACCCACCCGCCCCCGCCCCCCTTTAAAGGATGGGCGGGGATCAGCTGTTGCATGAACGCTTGCAACCCGAGTTGGAAAGCGTTAAGAATAATAACGAGGGGAGTGGTGGCACAGTGGATTGTGGCTCTGCTGTGAGAACACGGCGGCCGGAGTTTGATTCCCAGCCGTGGCAAATATCTGAAGCAGCCCTGGGCACCCTCCCACCTTCGCCAACCGGCACGGATCAGCCTGGTGAAGTATGGTCACACAACCCCCCCGCCAATGTGACGTGGCGAGGCCTTCATCCAGCAGTGGTTTGACAAGAGGGCTATATGCTGATACATTAAGGGATGATAGGAATGATGATAGGGATGATGATAGGGATGATTATGTTGTTTATGACGATGATGTTGTTCATGACGATGATGGTAATTAAGTTGTTTATGATGATGATGATCATGGGTGCTGATGATGATGCTTATGACGATGATGATGATGATGTTTATGATGACGATGATGATGGCCAGAGTTGGGCTGTGACGGATCCTATAACTCGCAACCGTGGGTCGGTTCGCATGAGGATGG